GAGAGAGATAGAAACATCAGTGATGAGAGAGAATCATTGATCAGCTGCCTCCTGCAAGGCCCCGACTGGGGATGGAGCCCACAACCCAGGCATGTGCCCTTGACCAATATCGAACCTGGGACCTTTCAGTCCGCAGGCCGACACTCTATCCACTGAGCCAAACCGGCTTCGGCATCCTAGTTCATATTAAACCCAATCAACACTCGTGTATTTACTTGGACTAATTCTGTAAAATGCATTGTCTTTTAAAACAATTAAATGAATAACAAAGACATCTGTGGTCTAGTGGGATCAACTCAACAATCCTGCGTTTTCAAGTCAACAAATCTCCACTTGTCAAAACATGGGCTAGGAGCCTGTCTTTTCAAATGTCTGCAGCTACCATCTGCAGGAACGGTGTCAGGCCAAGCGCCCAGGTGCCCTCCTTGGCACTGACTGGACCAGTGAATGCCACAAACGCACACAGCTCTGGGCCTGTGCTGACCTGGGCACTGGGTATAAAATAAACCACTCTAAGCAATTACACTAAACTTGGCAAGTGTTGGTGTGAACTGGTTTTCTGGTCATGTTCCACTTTCCAGAGCCACAGTGAACCCTGCCGTGGGTCCCTTGAGGGAAGAGAGAAGAGGGAAGGTCATGGGGCCTGGCTGCTGGGGAGCAGTCTCCTTTTGGAGAACTGCCAGGGGTTTTCTCAGAGACCCAAACTTTCCTACCCCCACCACCACCCCAAGAGCAGTCCTCTCCACAGCGGCTCCCGGACCAGGTTGTGTTCCCTGGGGCCATAAGGCTTGACCCAAGCCAGTGTCTCGACTGACCTCAGGCTTTTCAAAGCAGGTGACGGTCATGAGGATGTTGTCAAAGTCTGTGCAGCTCCATCGCAGCACATACATGCCCTCCTCGCTTCCTTCTTGCCGCAGTTTATTGATGGCATACTCTGTGCTGGAGGGGGGAGACAAAGGGAGAAAGAGCTCACCGAACAGGAGCACTCTGAACCCTTCCCTGCGCTGCCTCAAGTCCTACAGCTTCATCACATTACCTGTCCTCAAGTCTACTCAGGTTGTCACGGGAGTCAAGCAGAGAGGCTGAGGGAGCCCTGAAACAGATCATCTGAGTCTCCAAGGTCCAGAGAGGACTCGGCATGCTGCCAATGCCCTGAGCCTGTTCTTCCCCATTGCCCCATACATGCCGTCCCCAGCGCTAGCCTGAAGAGCACCCCAAGCTGGTGATGGGAGCTGCCGCTGATGCAGCGGTAGAGGGTCCCTCCACACCGTCCCCAGGCGGCACACTAGAATAGGAGCTCAGGAAGGCGCAATTTCAGGGTTATTCTGTTCATTGCTGTACCCCAATGACTAAAGCACCCCTGGGCTCATAGTAGCTGCTCAATAAATGTGTGAATAATTGAATAAAGAAATCAGTGAAGATTAAAAAAATGTTAGGGGGAACATGCCTGTCTTGAACTCCTTTGTATTCCCAGGACTGATAAGCCCTGGCACTCAGAGAGCAGTGAATAACTGCTAAATAAATACACATATGAGGTTACTACACCTAGTACATGGTACTTGCTAAGTACTGATAAAAGAGGGCTGATACGGTCAGCACGTGTGAGAAAGGCAGAGACCAACTGCTCCCTGGTCTGACACCTTCACACCTGATCCCTCACAGGAGAGGCCCTCTCTCCTCTTTAAGACCTGGCAAACCATTGTTAATTCTTCAGATTTTAATCTGATTGGAACGCTGCCCACTCTGAGAAGGCCTTTTAGGCACGAGTTTCAGGTCCCCTACCCCCCAGGATATCTAACATTCATTCAGTCAATAAGCACTTACTATAAAGGCCCACGATGTGCCAGGCCCTGCTATGGGGACTGAGAAAAAGCAATGAGCAGAGTAGGCAGTGCCCTGCCTTTGTGTAGCTCATATTCGAAATGGTGAAAGTGGGCGACAGGAAATGAATGGACACGGAAATAAACATGGTATGTTAAGAGGAAATGCCTCTGAAGAAAAATAAAGCAGAGTGAAAGAGCCAGGAAGTGCGGGGTGCAGAGGGGGAAGAGGGATTGTTATCTCATAGAACAGGGAAGACTCCACCGATAAGCTGTATTTGAGGAACACCTGAAGGAAGTGGTACGATATAGATTCTGGAGGAAGGGCATTCCAGGCCAAGGGAAAAGCAAGTGCCAGGGCCTGAGTCTAACTGGTTGGGATATTTGAAGGACGTGCTTCACAATAATGCTCAGCCCCTTGTAATCCATTGTGTGTCTATTTCCCTGTGAGCCTCTCTAGGCCAGGGTTTACCCACTAACAAACTACCTGTCCACAGGTAACTAGGATAGGGAAGAAGGTGGGACCCATGTCACACGGAGGCAGTTAAAGAGACACTTCCCCAAATATATTTATCTAGCAAGAGAGACTGAGAACAAACACAGCAGCTGATTTCCTCCGCCTGAAGGGCAGTCATGTGTGAGAGGAAGTAAACTGAATCCCTGTTGCTTCCAATGGCAGATCTCCAATGAGCAGGCAGAAGTTAGTGACAGAGGCAAATTCAATTCCAGACCAGAAAGGTATGCGTGTCTGTATTTGTTAGAGCTGGAATCTGCTGACTGCTTGTGCAATACTAAGTGCCCCATCGCAGAGCTATCTGGACATCTGGACACAGGCTACTAGTTCTGAGATGCGGAGGGACGGAGTCCAGCAAGGCCCCTCCCAGCTCTAAGGCGTGGTCGCCCTGTCATTTATCGGACACTTTACAACAAGCTGACTTGGGATTCCATTACTTACTACTCTGTCTGATGTTGAGACCTGTTCCTTCTTTCTTAAATCATCCACACTGTTTGGCACTGCAAACGATTAGGAAGTGTAGACTTCTTGGTCAGCTGGGAAGAAGTGAGGGGTTCAACTACGAGGAGACCCCAATGAGGGGTAGAGGTGAGGAGCTGCTACAAGGGCCAAGATGAGGGAAGACAGGAAGGCCTGACCAACGGACAAGAGAGATGGACAAGGAGCACCAGGTCAGCACTAAACAATATGCTCAACTGGCCCCAACCTAAGCAGCTGATGACACCTGTGTCTGAGGAGGCCACGCTCCCCATCACTAAAATGTGGGTTCTTTTCACACCAGAGGCAACTATGAAGGTGAGAAAACCAACCAGATTGGGCCGTGACAGCCATTCTGTATGTTGTGGACAATCAATGGAGGAGCCACATCGGTGCAGAGGTAATGATGGGCGTCTGCTGTGAGCCGGAAGTAGCCATCTACCAGGGACACAAAGGACAAGGCCTCCTCATGGGAAGAGAGCTTCAGTTCCTGTAAAGAGAGAGAAGAAATGCCCATGTTATATCATCTGCCTACCATCTTAAGCAGCTAACTCTATAGGGAGGTACACAGGGAGAAGATATTTAAAACATAATGGAGAATGCATGACCCCAGGTAGCACACTAGAATAGGACATTTATATAGGATTTTGACCATTTGCCACTTTCTCAGCTATTATCTAAAAACTATCAGATGAGGTACAGTGTGTGTGTGTGAGGAAGGGAGGGAGGGAAGCTGTGGAAGGCAGACCTGTGAAGAAGCTGCCACCTCGTTACAGGTGGAAAGCAACCCAGAATCAAGGTGGCAGAGGCATAAGAATGGAGACGGGAGAGCACAGTGCGTGTAAGTGCTCGTCTTGGCACTAAGCAATGACTGACTCAGTAGGCATTACACCTGTTTTACAGAAAAGAAAGAGCACAGATGGTTGACCGCATGCCAGGTCACTTTCCACAGAACTGAAAAAAGGAGAGGCTGGTGACAGAGAAAAACAGACCAGTGAAGGGGAAGGTGGTGGATAAAAGCAACCAAACAGGATGGAGGGAAGGGGTCCTAGTCACAGTGAGCTGTAATGCCAGGGAAGGGTGCTCTGGGTTGTGAGCCAGGGAGGCCAAAAGAATGCAGGGCCACCATAAGGATGGCAATTCAGGAAGGAGACTGTGCTACATGTGCTTTCTTTCAGGTGTAACCTGGCATCCACCTGCAGATCCCCAAGGAGCAAATTCAGGGTGGTCTGGTTTGGGTAACCTTTCATCCAGTCATATGAGAGAGACCACTGAAGCACTAAGAGGGGAAGTCTGAATGTAAATGGGAGACATCTAGGATATGCAGAGAGAAGAGACGAATCAAGATATGACTTTATAACATGCTAGCATCATGCTTTTCTGAAAGAACAGCTTGGAAACCCCTTGGCTGTGAAGGGATGGAGGAGTGAAATAAAGAAGAGAAAGCACTGCACAGTGTTCCCCACAGGTTTTGGAGCAAGCTCATCTGGATTCAAATCGCAGTATTTCCACTTGATATTATGTCTAAGCACATGTAATCATTTTTATAGGTCAAAGACTGTCAAATATTGGCAATTTCAAATGGTTTAGTCTAGTCACTGTGTGACCATGGTAAGCTACTTAACCTTTTTGTGCCTCAGTTTTCTCCTATGTAAAATGGGGATAATAATATACCCACCTTAT